GGTTCAGATGTGAGCTCTGCTGTAAGTCCACAAACTACCTTGGGAAAGATTAATGACCATCGCCTTAGTACTCTGTATACGCTGAAAACTAGACTGTCCTACTCAAATCACATGGCTCTGTCATTTAAAAAAGCATTGTTTATACCTGCCTGGTGTTTGCTTGCATTCCTGTTATATTCTGTGCTCTAAGGAATCAGGTCTGAATATTCTTTGCCATAGCTCCAAAATGTACCATGGTATTTTGATTCATGGAAAAAGAAGATACAGATGTAGTTATTGATCTGGATATTGATATAAATATGGATTAAAATTTTAGGTCCAGATATGAATAGATGTGGATCTGGACAATGGATCTGGGTATAGATAGAAATATATGGGATATATATGGGTATATATGGATCTAGCTATGGTGGTTCACCTGGATGTGGATAGAAATGTAGCTTTGTAGATGAGATTGTAGGTGTGAACATCAATTTAAATTAAGTTATGATTATGAATTTATGTATATATCTGGACATGATTTTAAATATAGATTGTGTTTCATTGTTACAGTGAAATGAGGCAGAGTAACTTGATAAAGAAGCTTATTGTAACTCATACTTCCAGAAGGTCACGTGCCAGGACTGGGCAGACATCCACTGGCTTCTTCTCTGGTGATAGTGTTTGTACTGACAGAGTCCAAGGTGGCACAGGACTTAAGATGGCAACAGGGAGCATGTGTGTCTGCTGCTGCTTATAGAATCACTAATTCAATCATGGGGTGGATGCCTCACTTTTCTGGTACTAGGAACTCTGGGTTGCAAAGGGAGCTTATTTTTATCTCTGTTTTTATCTGTGTTTATTTCTAAAGCCAGACTTTCATTCAAAAGTAATTTTAGAGTAAGTACTATGAGGCCATCCCTGGAAATAAATATGAACATGTCATAATTATTATATATGTAATTATATATGTATAACCTGCATATTTTAGATGAAACATTCTGTGGGACACGTATGAAAATGGATATTACTGGTTATTTAAGTTTATTCAACAAGTCAGTGAAGTTTAAAAGAAAAAAAGCAGGTTCGAATAGACTAGAATAGACAACTGGCTTTAGTTGTCATTTAGATCAAGCAATTGTAAAACCATTTTTTGTGATTTTTTGTGACAAATGAAGGTTGATGGTGGATTGGATATGAAAAGGAATGCTTGCTGGTTTTTAAAGGTATGGATAATTCAGCGCATACAGCAATATGCGATGTTATCTATAAATATCATAACCTTAGTGAAAATTTCATCTGTTTTTGAATGCATTAGGAAGGTCTGAAGGGATATGCTGTAAGCTGTCAATAGTTTTTGTCTACTTTGTGGGAATATGTTTTTATTCTCGTATTCATCTGTTTTCTAATTTCTACAGCGCATTTATAGTGCGTTTTTTGGTTTCTACAAACATACTTATTTTAACTAAAAAATCCACTGATACACTCCCATCTGAGACAGGAGCTGCATTCAGGTTCCACTTGACTGCCAGGAATTCAGATATTTCAGTCATTACCCTCTGCCTCCCAGTATGTAAATTGTGAAAACTTGGATTGGAGATAGAACAGAAAATCAATCCCATTGAGACACTTGAGTGTGGCAAGTGGACACTCCAAGTGCATCTTAACTGCTGGAGCAAATACTCAAGTAATCTGTTTATTTACTCAGCAGATAGACAGACCATCCAATGAGCATAGCTGGATTGGACTGGACAGAAGCCAAGTCCAGTAATCCACATCTCCCATGTGGGTGGCAGGCACCCACTTACTTGGGCTATGACCATAACTCCCAGATTCTGCACTAACAGAAAGAGCTGGGAATTGAACCTAGGCAGTTCATTATGAGATGCAGTCTCTTAAGTGGTAGCATAAATATCTATTCCCAGACATGTATGTTTTTAATGCAATGTTTTATTTTTACATATTATAAAATAATAGAACATGGTACATCAGAGATATATACCAATTAGGATGATAAAGCAAAGATGAATTGGCTACAAAAGGTTTGCAGAATAATACAATAATATAAATATTATATACTAGTCTTTGCTAAAAGCAATATAGAATAGTGATTATGTATACAAGCTTCTGAGTTACACCAAAACTCACATCCCAGCTGTGTCATTTACCACTGGGAAAATAACTCGAAAGTTTCAATTTCCTCCTGTGTAAAATGAGATAAAATTCTTTCTGCCTGACTTAGTCTTAAGATTAAAGTTGGGCAGGCATACTGAATTAGTTTCCTAGGATTGTCATAAAAAATGACTATGGATTTGGTGGTTTCGGAAAAAAAAAAATTGTCTCCCAGTGCAGGAGACTGAAATTTGAAATCCGGGTATTGGATCTATGATTTGCCTCCTTCTAGCTTCTGGTACTCAGCAGCAGTCCTTGGAAGTTTTTGGTTTGTAAATGAGTAAAGATTTAAGTAAGTTAGCCAAAGAATAAGCAAGGAACTGAGTCAAGATATAAACTTCCTTATCTGGCTTTAACATCTAGGCACAAGTCATCAACAATCATGCAGCAGCTAGAGGGAACTGGTCTTGATGAACAGAAGTTCTCTGGACAGTATCAAAAGGAAGGTCTGTAGGTGAAAAGGGCTGCAAAGTTGGCAGTAAACTTGTGTCTTGAATATGGCTTGTAGCCAGATCCCCTCAGATGCAGATGGTTCAAAGAAACTAAAGAGCTTCTCCTTGCCTTTATGTCTGCTGGATGAAAGATTCTGAGCTTCAGTTCACATCATTGGTCTCAGAATCCAGCAAGTTTGTTTAATTGTATGGCCCTTTCCAATAGTGGTTCCAGGCGAGGGCAGGAGACCATTAGCTCCCAGACTCGTTCCTGTGTCTTGGCTTGTGTTTGGCAGGCATGGAAACATGGTCAGAACACCCTCATCCTGGGGTGCAGCTACTTACCCACAGCCAAGGTTCAGAACTCAAACCTGTAACTGAGGAAACTTGATAAACAGTGGAGTGCTAGAAGTTTCTAGAGGAGAGAATGTGGCAGCATTGATTCAGTCTGGAGAAAGGCACCAATCCCAAAGGATAGATGCAGAGTTTGATAGGCATGGGGCCCTGCTAGCAGCTACTCTGCTGACAGGAGAGTCCTGTCTTCCTCCTCAGTGAGGTGAGTCCTCAATAGCAGTTACTCTGGGCAGTTTCCAAAATATCTGAGACTCAAAAACAAATAAGAACATGTGTCTTCCTGTGCTACTGCTTGGGCTTGGGGATCTGCCATCTTTGCCCTTTTCCCACCACTGCCCTGCACAAATGTCCCCATCCCTTCAGGTCTCTGCCCTGCCATCAGACGCACAGACAAGTCACATGTACACACTCGGGCATTCATTCTCCTCTTTCTAGTCGACTTTCAGCCTCACAGCTCTGAGAATCTCTCTCATGTGCCCTCCTCTGTTTCCTTTCATAGCCTAAGTTTTAATTGTCTTTAAGTACTTAGATATCTAATTCTAGGAATGCATAGTAAAATTCATGTGCACATGACATAGATACACAGCATCTGTGGAGATGGGTTCCAGCACTCTAATCCACAGGTGCTTGAAGCCCTTGTATAATATGGCATTGCAAATGTATAGAACTTATGCATCTCCTCCCTCATATTTAAATCATCTCTCATCTACTTTTATAAGGGTAAATGCTATGTAGGCAGTTGTGTACATACTGCTTAGGGAATAATTACTGCTTAGGGAAAAATGTCTGCAAGTATTCAATACAGACATAAATTTTTCCAATTATTTTTTGACTCCCTTTTAGTTGCATCTACAACATGGAACTTAACATAGTATCAAATATCTGTGTGAGGACCCACACATACAGAGGGATGGTATTACATATAGGAACGTTCATACCTTTGCTGGTTCTGCTTTAGAAGGAGAAATACAAACATGCCTATGCCTGGTAAATAACTTGGGCCGTTTCGTTCTATGCACAATGCAGCTTACAAAATGGTGATACATGTACATAGGTGACAGCAGAAACATCTTCATGCTGCATGATCCTGGGAGCCCTGTGTTGACATGTGTGATCTATCCTGCCACCCTGGGCAAACAATCCTTAGTAGCTGATGGAGGAATGGTTAGGAGGGAAATGTCCAGTTGATTCTGGTTCCCCAGGAAGCCAAGTTTCCTGGCAAACCCCTCACCACCCGACTCACAGAGGTATGACACAATTTTTACAAATGGACTCAGATGCAGCCAGTGTGGCCGTGTTCCTGGGTGTATCTGATGAGGAGTCAGAATACTGGCATCCCCCAGATTCTTGCTTTAAACTCCAACTTTGAGAATGTACTCCTACTTGCCTCTGAAAGCTTTACTCTCTCCTTATTCATGCATTGAGAGAGACAGTGAAAATGATCTCTCTGGTCTCTTTGTTGAGAGAGTTTACTGGTGTTTTATTGAGGTTTGTGGAACATTACTAAGATTCGTGATTGCTAATATATTTTCAGCAATTGCCATTTGATTAACACTGTTCTAAGTGTCCCTTAAGTCTCGTAACAACTATAGGCAATTAATACTATTACTTCCATTTTATGGAGGAAGATGCTGAGGGCCAGATATTTGTTGTTTAAGGTCACACGACTAGGAAGCCATGGGCCTGGAACCTAATTCCGACACCCATGACTGTAGTCTGTGCTCTGCTGCAATTAGAAGTCAGCCTTTCTGTTGCTGCATAATCTAAATGCTCGCGCAAAGTTTAGTTTTAAGAAAATAAAATCTTAAGAATTATGGGAAACTAGAGGTGAATATGAGATAATTACCCATAACAGCCCACATGTAAAAGGCAAGCAAAAGTTCTTGAAATATCTATGCATTTTTAAATATATCACTTCTGTACATCATTATGTGACTATATCTGCATACTCCTGTACAACAAATGCAAGGAGAAAATATATCACTATTGCATTCTTTATGCATCTTTTTCTCTGAACATAGCACCTAGTACACAACCTTGATGCTTTCAATTTTAATTTCACAGATGAAAGAACTTGGTGTCATCTTCTACAACTGCAGCTGCCTGGTCCTAGATTTGCAGAGGATATTTGCTTTGTATAGTTCATTAAAATTCAAGAGCCGAGTACCTCAGACCTGGTCCAAGAGACTCTATGGAGTCTATGACAATGAGAAGAAATTGCAGCTTCAGCTGAATGAGACCAAATCCCAAGCATTTGTATCGGTGAGTTGCCCTCTTTCTTTCCTTCAGAAGCTCTCACTTAAGTCAGAGCATTTCAGCATGGTCCTAACTTGGGCACAAACAAATCAGATAAATTCACCTCCTAGTGGAATTTAAATGTATCCACTCTCGTGTGAATCATTTGCTGTCCCTAATGAGAAATTTGTAGAATCATTTGTAATTTCAGGTATCTTATCTCATTAGACTCCCCCCGCTTCCCACCCCAGCCTCATCCTGGAAGGTAGACACAGGACTATGACTGCTACAGATGAAGACAGTGATGCTTACCTACCAGGACCAAGTCCATCAGATGGACAATGGCAGGAGAGGCACCAGCTCCCAGGTCTCCTGACATCAGAATCTAACAACCTAACAGGAGGTCTTACATCAGTGATGTTCAGACTTGTTTTTAGCTGTAGAAGCCATTGATGAGACAGGTATGAGGGAAGGCCAATGTAAAAAAGAGATGAAACCAGAGCAGTTTTACTCTATTGGGGCTGGTGGGAAAGGTTACAAACCTCCAGCTCACACACAACCTATACATGCTCATCTCCCCAGGCCACCATGTCACTGCCCGCATGACTTAGCTGCCTTGCAGTGTTACTGGGAGTGGGCTGTGTGAGTGTGGGGACCTACATCCCCAAACTTAAGCTTCTGGGAGTCTGTTTGAAAGTAGATTGATAATCCCACCTCTCTCCCATTCCCAGACTCACACTGAATCCAGGAGGGACTTTGAGTCTAATTTGGATCAAGCTTCTGAATTGATCCAGATGCTTAAAGAAACTTCTCGTGGATATGCTCCAATTTAATATTGTTTATCCAGTGATTCTGTAGTACTTTTATGCCAACAGTTCTTACCTAAGAGCATTTTGTCTTCTCAAAGCGCAACCTGAAATTTTAGAAACGTTGTATTAGAGGAAGAACAAGGTAGTCTTAAAATCACATAATTGTGAATAGCAGACAATAGACTATAAGTGAATTTCATCAAAAAGAGCTAAAAGAAAAGGCCTTTTAGTTTTCTGTGAGTGAAGTTCAACGACATAATAACCAGTAAGTGGCATATCGCAACAGGGAATTTTGCTAACAAAATCATTGCAAATACTAATTTTTCTTGCTCTCCTCAAGGTAACCATAGAAGACAAAAAGGCCAGGTAGTATCCCCAGGTTTTGACTAAGTAACATGACACCCAAGCAAGGGGCACATGCTCAGCCCAAACCCAGCAGAACAGATTAGATTCAGATTAGATTTGAGACATTTGCTGGACAAGTGAATACAACTGTTTTATATATGCAACTTCTTGCCCATGAAAAGTTTTGTTCTGCTGATTCTAAAGTTAACATTTATTATACACAGAACAGACCTAAGGCTTTTGATAAAACCTGAAGTGGAAAGCCTTTGTTACATTTTAGGGCAAATTTAGAAATTGCTTTTTAATAAAGAGATTGCCATAAAATGAGCCATGAAACATTTTTTTTTCAGCGAATTTTGTAAATCAAGCAATTTTACAGTTTTAAAATTTGTTATTTACCATTCGTAACATCAAGCCTATATGAATTGAAATTCACTAGATATTGACTGAGCATCATCATTGAAGAGATAAATTACAGGAGCCTTTGAAAGTCATCAAGCCTCTGCCACTGGAAATAGTTTTATTCAGTCACAGCGTCTTGATCTCATGTCTCCTATTACCATTTATCACACTTGCATAACCACTTATTCATGATCATCTTTTCCACTTCTTTATAAGACTTTGAAGTTCACATACAATACTATTCATAGTTAGTATTCCCAGCACCTTACTTGGAACTCTGTGAAGCAATGAATATTGGATTGGTTTTATTAAAAGTAATATTAACAGAAAGTTTCTGAAGCTATACGATTTTTTCAGTAACATAAGTCCAAACAAATGCCAAGACAAATTTAATTAAATTCATTGTACTTGCTGCAAAATATCAAAAAAATAGTACATTTTGTAAGATGACAGTGCCAAGACTAAAGTAAAAATATAAAAATGGAATAAAGACTTTAAGAGAACTCATTCCCCAAATAAGATTTCAGATGATTGATAAAATTTATATGTAACTGTTTAATTAAGTTACAACTACTCATGATGTTTTGATGGCAAACAAATAGATATTTGGCTGCATTTGATTTTGAGTCACATGGGGACAGGTAATTCTAATGAAATCAGAAGAAGTGATGGTCAAGGTTCTCTATTGTAAGCTTTTTTTTTTTTTTTGCTAAGATAAAGACTAGTTCAAGTTCCATTTTTATTATTTTTCATTTTCTTCAGCTGAATATTTTTATTAAGGCCTGTTCTTATCAATATAAGTGTATGACAGACCTAATTTTTTGTTGCTTATTATTCTATTCACTCACTGATTGGTATACTGAGATATTTACTGAGTAAGAGTAGACATTTAGTAGAATTTGATGTTACCATGCAAAAAAAATCTCATATCATATGCCTCTTTAACACTTTCCAGTACCATAAAATTCACTCTTTAATGTACATAAGTCAGTGAGTTCTATTATAGTCAAACTTTTACAGCCATCTCTGCTATTAAATTTTAATTTCTCTTCACCATAAAGAAAAGCCCTTTTACACCTCAGTCGTCATCCAAGTCCTTGGCATCCATTAATCTACTTGTTTATGGACCTGCCTTTTTCTGAACTGACTTCCATTACTCAGCATGTTTTCAAGGTTTATACCGTAATGTGGCCAATGAATTTCCATTGTATGGATATAACACACACTGTTTAACATCTTTTAGCTGATGGACATTTGGTTGTTTCTTTGGAGGCTATTCTGCATAGTCATACTATGAACATTCATGTAAGAATTTTTATTTAATTATGTTTTCCATTATCTAGCGTTGGTACTCAGGAGTGGAGTTGCTGAGCGGTGTAGTAACTCCATTTGAAAACTGAGAAATGGCCAAACTGTTTTTTCAAATTGGCTGTACCATTTTTCTGTCTCACCAACAATAAATGAATATACCATTTGTCCACACCCTTGCTAACATTTGTTACTTTGTACCTTCTTTTAGCTCTTAGTAGATAAGATCTCTAGAGTCTTGATTTTGATTCATAGCTTTAATGTGGATGTTAGCCATATTTTGCATATTAGCCATATGTTGAGAATTATCTAGCAAACTATTTTTAAATTAGGATTTTCTAAAAATAGAGTCTGAAGACATTTTCATATTCCAGATAACAGTGCCTTATCAAGCACTTGGAAATATTTTCTCACCCTGTGAATTCTCTTTTCATTTGTATTTAACATATGCATTCCAGAATTATGATATGGATTTAAAAAAAAAAAAAACAGGGCACGGTGGCGTGGTAACCTAGCAGCTGAAGTCCTCACCTTGAACGCACCAGGATCCCATATGAGTGCCGGTTCTAATCCCAGCAGCTCCACTTCCCATCCAGCTCCCTGCTTGTGGCCTGGTAAAGCAGTGGAGGACGGCTCAAAGCCTTGGGACTCTGCACTGTCTGGGAGACCTGGAAGAGGTTCCTGGCTCCTGGCTTCAGTATGGCATAGCACTAACCGTTGCGCTCACTTGGGGAGTGGATCATCGAACAGAAGATCTTTCTCTCTGTCTCTCCTCCTCTCTGTATATCTGACTTTCCAATTTAAAAAAAACCAGCAAATACTTATGAAACGAGAGACCTACCTTAACAGCTTTATCCTTTACAAAGCAAATACTTAAAATATCCTTATAAAGCAAGTATTAATCTGAGACAGAAACATGGATTAACCTGGGTGTGAAGTGGCACAAGAATGCTTGATAGTAAAAGATTATCACAGACCTAATATATGCAAGAGGGTATATCTTGTCCCTCCCCTTTATTTCATTGTGAAATAAAGGATTATATTGTGCCAGGTTCAGAAAATTTGCTGAGAAGTACTAAGAGGGAAACTCACCAACCTTCTGTAAGAGCTGTTGACGCTAGTTAGGATCCTGTGCCCGAGTTGTCATTGTGTTGTGCATCATTGGTCTGTGTGCTCTTTGTTCATCTCCACCTCAAACAGCGGACAGAGAACTCTGGAACACACTAAGGACAGACAGAATATCAAGGGAACTGATACCTTATGTCTAGACAACCATTATGGAACATGGTCCTCAAAAGTATGACCCTAGATGTGCCAAATGACCCAGCTATCACACTCCTAGAAATTTACTCCAAGAAAATGAAATCAGCATATCAAAGTTATTTGCACCCCAATGTTTATGGCAGCTTAATTCACAATAAGTAGACATCTTGGTTGATTCCCTATCTAATGACTAAGGAAAATTTGTCATTGGTGTATGATGGAGAGCTACTCAACTATAAAAAATGAAATCCTGCCTTTTGCTATAAAGTAGATGCAAAATAGGCTTAGTGAAATAAGCCAATCCCAAAGCAAATATTGTACATTTCTTTGATATAAAATTTTTATATGAGTGAAATTGACATACAAAAGAAAAATTGGGGCAGGCCTGCTGTACGGACCACTTAGATTTTGTGTTTCAGTGCCTGGTTCAAGTCCCAGTAATTCTTCACTTCTAATAGGTTCCTGCTAATGCTCCTGGGAGGCAGCAAATGACGCCCCAAATTCTTGATTTGCTTCATTTGCCTGGGAGACCCAAATGGAGCTCTAGGCTCAGACTCATGTGCTGCACATTTTGGGGGGTAGGGTTGAAAACAAAAACAAACCAGACTTGAGGTCCAACCCAGCATACTTCATTTCCATCATTCCTCATCTTTGACCATACTGAGCCTATCTTTAGTGGAAAGTCAGAAAGCAGACTAAAAGCTCATTAAAAAACACACAATGAAAACACTGGTTTCCAAAAATTAACACTCTAAAAGCTTGGTTTCTGTGTCTTCACAGAATTCTCCCAAACTCTTTTGCCCTAAAAACAGAAGCTTTGACATAGACGCCATCTACAGCGTGATAGACGATGCCAAGCAGTATGTGTACATCGCCGTCATGGACTACCTGCCCATCTCCAGCACAAGCACCAAGAGGTCAGTGAATACCCAGCCTCTCCAGGGCTGCACAGTGAACTAGGGCCCCAGAGGAGAGCAGTCTGCATGCCCAGATGTGATAAGTCTGTGTTGAGTACACCATTCAAACCTGCCTGGGGTGCATTTACAACTTACCCATGAAGCATTTCTCATCCATGCAAGTCTGTTATTTTATTATTTTTTTTCCTAAGATTGTTTGCATAGTTGAGGGATTCACACCAATGTGGGCCTCTGATTATGGTCAGGAAGGTTTGACTGCAGTCATCTTGATGGGAAAGAAACCTTGCCTGGGGTGACCTCAGGCTTTTATATGCACCAGCCAGTGCAGGGTCAGGGGCAGTCCATCACCTGCACCAGCCAACCCACATATCGGGATGCAGGTGCTGTGGTCCAGCCCAGACAGCCCACCGCAGACCCTATCCTTACACATACCAGCAGGTGCCAAGACCTATGAGGTGAGGTGATCCCCAACAACCTCTACCAGGCCTGTCCCTAGCACGTTTTTGTACATGTCTGTCTCAGCTGCAGCCTAGCCCAGACCAGCCTTTATTCCAACCAGTGCTCATGCATACCCAGTGGTGAGGAGTGCTACAGCCCTGCCTGGCCTGGCCCACACCCTGCCCCAACTCTTGTGCCCCAAAGGGGGAGCTGTGGTTTTCTAAGTTCTCTTACCAGGCCTGTTCCCAGCCCTGGATCCCACTCATGCTAGCAGGTGTAGCAGCCCTGGTTGGTATGGTTTGCTCTCAGTCCTGGCCTTTGCATGTGCCAGTGGATGCTGCAGTGTGGTCCTGTCTGACCTCCCCCAGCTGCAGCTCCTTTGAGTGTCAGGTGGGTTCTCTGATTCCTTTGGCTCAGCCTATCGCCACCTGCAGCTCTCCATGCAAACAAGCAGTGCTGCAATCTCAGAGGGAGCTCACAAGCCCCTACAGAATCTGCCCCCAGATCCAGTGGTGCTGGACATGGCCCACCCCCTGTTCCCACAGTTACCGGTGAGTATTGCAGCCTAGCCCAGCCATGCATGCCCTGTAGCCCCAGCTTTTGTGTGTGGCAGGCCACATCTCCCATATGGGTGGTTACTTTGGCCTGATAGACATGCGCTTTGGTTTCCCCTCTCTAAACCACTCCAGCTCAGTGCAGTGGCCTGATCAGTGAAGACCCCAAAAGTCATTCCTCTGTCACATGCCCTCAGCCACTCCTACATGTCCTCCTAACCCCTTCCTCAGACAATCTTCAGCACCTCTGCCTGGGGTCTGGGATAGTGTGACCTGGCCTAGCATTCGCTGTCTTCCTGGCCTAGAGTTCCTTGTTTTCCCCATGTATCTTAAAAAAAGAAAAAAAAAAAAAAAAAGAAACAAGTAACTATGCTGGCCTATTGGCATAGTTTATACCAATTTGGCTTTAACTAGCCCAGAATTCCTGCCAGCAATTGGCTGCTTTTCCCCCTACACTAGTGTAACACTTGCTTAATTACAAGGTAACCTAGGCAGTTGCCTACAGTAAGTCCATTTTCAGAACTCCAAGTTTCACCCTACAGAAAATAATTTTGATAGCTTAGTGTCATGATCATGAGAGCAACTTTAGGTTGTTCTTAGTTTTAGAATTATTTTTAAATATCATTTGAAAATTATCAATGCAGATATCCCTGAAGGGCATATTCCAACAAGACATCTATGGGGAGTTGCCCTAAAGCAGGCATCACTTTCACACGTCATGAAGACTGCTGGGAGTATAAGAAATTCTCATATCTCAATGTCAAGGAGAAGGTAATTTAAAATGTATGTTTTAGGCAATCTATTCCTCTGTGTGAGAAAGACATCATCCCAAAAATGTTTTCTAATACTTTATCACTGTTCAGGCATGCAAATAACATAAAATAAATTCAGAGGCACAGTTTATGACAAGCTTCTTGGAAAATCAGGCAGTGCATAAATCGTCACCATGCATAGGTCGTCCCACTTTTGGTTTCTTGCTGAGAAGGCAAAGATTTGGGTGCTTGCCAAAGTTTTACATAATTAATTTATTCTAGGAAAAGTTTTTGAAGGTTGTATTTCTGGGAGCGAAACAAGTACTATATAATTGAGAAAATCACAATTTTAAAATAATCATTTCCTGAGCTTAAATGTGCCCTGTATTGCTTGAATATTTTCCGTATCACAAATCCCACATACGCATATTATGCAAGTTCTATATGCAGACGACTGCAGGATTGCAAAAAAAAAAAAAAAAACTATTTCTTCAGAAAGTGATTGCCTCTGATGCCAGTCAGTGGAACAGCATTTTTTAAGCTTTAAGATGCAAACTATTCCTAACTTTTGCTTTAATATACTGAGCATACTTTGAACGTTCCTGGATGCTTTCCCCACAGCACCATCCTATTTATTTAGTCCCTCATTGTGTTTTTCTTATTGCGTTGCTTGCCTGGTTTTAGAGTTCGTGTTGGGCGTCGACTTCACCTTAGGAAGATTTTGAAGCAAAAGGTTTTGCTGAGTCTTTCTCTTATGCAGAGGGAGAATGAAATCAAGCCCATGGGGCTGTCAGTCTCAGAATTGAAAGCTTTTGTTCCACGGAGTTCTGTGAGCAAAATTGATGTCCTTTGTGGTGAAGGAAAAGAAAAGGAGTGCAAGGCTCTAAAATATCATAGAAATATAAATGTTAGAGAACACGGACACAAAGTTAGAAAAGCACTAGACAGCTGAATCTGTTTTTTTGTTTTGCTTTCGGTTATTAATTTATCATTCAGTTGTGTTCAAAGAGAACTTAAAAATTAAAGATTTTAAATTTAAGAAATATAAATTTTCTCAGTGAAAACTCATGCAATAATGGTTCAAGCACCTAGGTTATGATTAAATTCTTCTCAAATGAATGAAACCTTCTGAAAGTCAAACTGATTACTCATCTAAATAGTCCCAGAAAAGTTTTTCAGGAGTGAATTCAGTGTTAATAGACAGACAAGTACATAATAACATAATTCAAGATGTTAGCAGAATTAACTAATTTATAGACCTAACTTTGTACACTGCAGAAACTGAGAAAGTCCACACGCTCCCAAATGAGAACTGGTTGACAGCATGTAAAAAAATAAAGTGCACCACTATGTGTACAGCACTAGTGTTAGAGGCAAGCTCTTCTTTCCAAGGTAGAAGCTGAGACAATGATGTGTAACCAAACAAATCCGACAGCAAGAACATCAGACACCCTGTTTCATCCTGAAATAGCAATCAAGCTGTTCAATCAAGCAAATCACCTCTTTTTTTAAGTCTCAGTTTGGGGGAGTTCATTATTATTTATTCAGTCAGAGGAACTATATCTTTCAGAAGCCAGAAAATATATGAAGGACTGATGAAATCATAGGCTGATTTTTCTTTGAAGCTTTGGTAGTCCCCACCAATCTCCATATGCAATTTTGCTATCTACAGTTTCACTGAGTATCAGACTGCTGTGCTCCAAAAATCAGAAATGCAAAATTCAAGGACAAAATAATTCATAAATTTTAAATTTAGCTTCTTAGAGCATATTGTTTGAATTATTCTTATTTTACTAATTATTGGCATTGTTGTTACTATGCCTAATTTATAAGCCAAAGTATCACAGATATGCATTTAGAACAACAGTGTCTAAATAAGTGGTTGGCCATTGTCAGTGATTTCAGGCATGTATTAGGGACTTCAGAAATTACCACTTAGGGATATGGAGAATCATCATCTTGGTATTTTTCATTTATGGATTCAATCAAATATTTGAGCATGGTGATTAGAGATTAAAATGTATGGTTTCAAAAGCTCACCCTAATAAGAATAGATTGACCCAGAATAGATCATTAGAACACAGAGGTGTGGACCAATAGGTTTATATGTGCAGAATATTAAATATGCTCATTAAAATGGTATCTGTGACAGTTTCCATATTAGAGGAAGCTTATTAGAGATGCCACCTGAATGATGCTTAAAAATTCTTAGGAATTAGTTAGCCAAGGATAAGAAAGGTGCATTTCTAAGTAAAAAGGACAGCATGAACAGAAGGAGAAAAATATTCTGGCAGATTTGGTGCTGGGTCATGGAACCCAAGGTAAGGTGGTAAGATCAAATTGGAAATAGGACATGGACCAAGAACTGGGAAGGAGGAGCTGACTTCCAGGTAGTCATGTGACTTTATGCAGTCCCCATCATTTTTTTTTATCTACAGTAATAAGATAACCATGTTGGCTTTTCCATGGGAATCATTTCATGGTCTTGAAAGATGTTCTTGGTACTATAAGACTGGATGCACAAAATCCAATTTGGAGCACAAGCTTAATATGACTTTTCCCAGGTCTCCTCACCTTTACAGAAATGGAGAATTACAGTGCTGATCCATGATTTGGATTTTTCCATGCATGAGAGGAAGGTAGAGGGACAAGTATTCTTCAAGTGATCAAGTGATTCTTCAATAGGAGGAGGAGCAGAAGGGCCAGACACATGGTGGGGATGGGAGACTGGTGGCTTATGAGAGGGGAAGGGAGATTCAGTGTGATTAAGAGAGTGGGGGCTTGAAGAATAGGGGTCAGGGTGCAAGGTTAGGGCAAGTGTTAAATGAGTGGACAAAACACTGATAAATGACACTGAGGCAGATAGTGATAAATACAGCATGAGTCTTAAGACAGGAAATGGTTTTGTTCTTTGTGAGAACTGAATGACAGTTCTGGCAGTGTTACAAGATGAACCACATCCTAACCAAGTAACAGTTGTGAAACTACATGACAAAAGTTGAGGAGAAACTGTGGTGCTAGGATATGGTTACTGCAGAGGGCTAAGAATTCAGGGAAGAAAGCTGAGCTTAGGGGAGAACCTGTGTGCCTGATGGAAGCTATGGTCAGGACAGACCACACAAGAATCATCTGGAAATAAAAGCATGGGAAAGGTCAGATCAGTAAAGTCAAGCCATGCCGAGGGGGTGTGTTATTAATGATGAGAGGCTGGAGTGGCATTGGGGATTGAAGGAGTAAGGGTTCTTGATGGAACGACAACTCATATGGAATGAAGTCCAAGTAGAGCTGGGCATGAGGGGAAGTAGATTCATGATAGTGGTCCAGATGTCTACATAAGACTAGACCCATACAGTTCAAGGTTCTAGTGGATGAAACATAACATTTAGACAGGGATAGCTACTAGTACACATCATCTCTTGAGACTTTACTGAAGAGACTCGTTTTTTTGCAACCTGCCCTATAAATTGGTTTACTCAAAGGGTCTTCCAGAAGTTTAAGGAAAATATATATTATGAAAGTGCTGCATGAAATGTCAAATTTTTATGCCAAAGCAAACTTATCTTTTCATCCCACGACCATGATCTCTTTAGGTATCCTTATATTTTACAGAACAAATAACCAGAGTAACAGAAATGTACTCTGGTATCCTGTGAGTCTTTCTCCTAAAGCTAAATTATTGTCTTATTTTTATTTATATGGATCCCATTTCTTCAGGACATATTGGCCAGACTTGGATGGAAAAATAAGAGAAGCATTAGTTTTACGAAGTGTGAAAGTTCGACTCCTCATAAGCTTCTGGAAGAAAACTGATCCTCTCACATTTAACTTTATTTCATCTCTTAAAGCTATTTGCACTGAAATAGCCAACTGCAGTTTGAAAGTTGTAAGTATTACATTGTAAGTAGTATTGAGCAGAAAGAATGTATACTGTGCAAATCTGTGCAAACTACAGGCATACATGAACATGTGAACTTCCAGTACAAGCCAGGGTGACACTCTTTGGGAGTGAAAAATACTTGCAAAGACAGGATAAATAATGTTTCAAAAGAGTCATACATGGAAAAGGAGACTGGGACCCAAGTTTCCTAATGCCCTCTAGTCTCGGTCTCTCTCTCTCACTCTCCCTCCCCCCCCTCTTTTTCTCCCTCTCCCTCTCTATCACACACACACACATTCTACTGCATACTTTCCACTTTAAATCATCTGTTATTCTTATGTGTAAAACTATAACCAACAGGCCTAGTTAGTACTGGACATAGAACACCAAGATGCCTCTCGCCCTAATAACCCCACATTGGGGCTCCCATGCTAGGGAAGCAAGGAACAGGTGTCTCTAGCTCACCATCATATTTCCACTGCCTAACACGTTGTTTGTCACACAACATGTGAATCACGTGTTGAATTAGTGAGTACCTGGATAAATGAAGTTAAAGAAGAGAGCTAACGAAGGCAGGAAGATTCTATAAGCCAGTGAAGGAGGAAGCAGAGCTCAGAATGAGACCTGAGAACAAGGCCTAGTTAGTCATTTTCTGCCATAGTGTAGCTCAGTGAAGTCATGCATTTCAGAATGTACAAGGTCAGAGGAGCACTGCTGTCAGACTTACCACGTCTAGAGGGAGCAGAGCATGTCTGGGCCTCTGGTACAGTCTGGTGCACTTGTTCTCGCCTTCTTTCTCGGTTTCCCCTTAGGCCATATCAGGGATGCCCACTGCTCTCCCTTCCTGACCCCACAGTACTCCTGCTACTAAGGCCACTAACAGTTGACATCTCTATGGATTGTTAACTGCAAAGTGCTTTTGTTGGAAATTTGCAGGATAACACAAAAGAAGCAGAATACGTCAATACTTTTCAATAGTTTCATTTCCTTTGGACTCAGATGTTCACAATCTTTGAATAAAGCAAACACTAATAATTCACTAGTTCCCATTTTGTAAGAGGCTGTGCCTTGCTATGCATCAATTATAAGACAAGGTAGAAAAGGTAGTTACAGCCCCAATGTATAGAAAACAGGTTATTCTCCTTCAAAGAGTTTTCATAACTCATTTCTTGAGTTGATGTTAGGTTATGCCTTATTCTTTTTCAAATCCAAATTAATTCTATAAATATCTTCCTAAAAATATTTACGTGTATTTATTTGAGAGTTAGAGAGCCCCTATGTGCTCATGCACTCCCCCAAATGCCTAATGGCTGGGACTGAAGCACTCGAAAGCCTGGAACCAGGACCTCATTCTGAGAACTCAACAACTTATGTCATTCAGGGTGAGCATTAGCAGGAAACTGGAATCAGGCATGCAGCAGCCAAGACTCAAACCTTAGAGTCAAACCAGGCACACCAACATCAGACCCGGACATGCTAAACAGCATCCTACGACCTAAGCTAAATGCCAACCCCTATTATAGTACCTTTTTGTAAAGGGAACAGGAAAATATATCAACATGTCCAAATGCTGTGACTCCTCATTTTGAGTGATGACACCCTCAATGCTCATATAAACTCATGAGTTTATTACTTTATCGCAAAAGCTTTTAAGTCAGTTACTAAGTTAGTTTGAAGAGCCTATAAAAGATTTTTGCAGAAAGTAGGAACTGAGGAAATTGGCTGAATTACAGTCCTTGTAACCAGGGTAATGTTGTCTCTGTGCTGAGGCATAGATAATTCTTAGTAGATTCTGAGCTGTGCACTATGGAGCTCAAAAGTTTTATTAACATTCAGAACTTTTAAGGACAGGAAGGGAACTTACTGATTACCTAGCTTCTCATTTCTTCTCTAACCTGGAAGGAAGGTAAGAACCAACTTAGTGTTTTCTCAAACCAAATTTGAATGCTAAACCCTTTGAAAGCTATAAATTGCATTCTTTTCTCCTTGCCTGGTTATTGCTTTCAACACATAGGATATCGCAAGTATAAGGCATTTCAGAAAGATTCCAGGCGTTAAATAGTGAATGTTTTCCAATGCGGAATAGACCTGAGACCTCCAGCATCGACTAGTGTCTTCCTGTGAAATCAGGAGCTTCACTGTGAAAGTTCATCTAAGCACTTACATTCAAAAGTGTAGGCCTGGCCACCCCTGCTGTTAGCAACCCATCTGTTGGATGCCCCATCTCTAGCCTTGGGTGATTTGGGGGTCATTAATGTTGAAGCTAGTATTCATAATCTGAAATTGTGATTTTGTTTTTTGAATTTCCTTTCAAAGTAACTTTTAAACATAGGTGTTTAGACAAAGGTTTGTTCCTGTGGCACAATCTCTTGATCTTTGCAAATCCCTAGTTTATTCAGCTATTCATTAACATAAGGTGTGTGACATGTAAAAATATTCATTCAGTTCATTGGCATGCTTGGCAGAAAGCACCCACAAGCACATGGCAAATGCCAGTGCACCCCACTGAAGAAGACAGTAAGAATTAAATAAGCTTCTGATTCTCACCTTGTTGAAAGAATTTTTTGTTCATTTGATAGCTTTTTTAAAAGTGTTGATTATAGACCTAGTTGAGCATGCTAATTTCCTCTTATTCCTATATAGATTTAGAAAAAAAAAAGCTCCTATTCAAAGCAACAAAATTGTGGTTTTAACAACCCAGTATGAGGTCTATTGTTGATATTTGGATAATACATTCATTTGTGTCCTTGAACAAAACCAAAACCACTCTTTATTCACCTGCTTTTCAAATTTTTTTTTCCTTACAGAAATTTTTTGATCTGGAAAGAGAAAATGCTTGTGCTTCAAAAGAACAAAAGAATCACACCTTTCCTAAATTAAATCGCAACAAGTACATGGTGACAGATGGAGCAGCTTATATTGGTAGGTGTCAGGGCTGGTAGCCTGCTGAGGGTTTACTCTAACAATGGTCATCCAGTTGGTCTGGGTGGGTGGGGGAACGTGGCTGTCGGATCCTTTGCAGGTGAATGGAAGGACCTGGAGGTCCCAGGAGACCATATGTGATATCTTCTCAGTAGTATTTTATAGAAATTCTTTGGTTCACCACCCTCATTCATAGGCAAAGAGGTGAATGGTGACACTAGAGCCAGCATGGTACTTGCCCCCCTGCCCATAGCACCATGCCGGCCTTTTTGAGTCCAGGGAGGCAAGTGTTAGAGCCATTCAGTACCACCAGAATTTACACTACCCAGACATGGATCCCACTCTTGCCATTCTCATCTGTCTTGGGATAGTTTACTTGAGCTCTCTAAAACTTCAGTTTTCTTAACTGCAGAACGAGACGGTTAATAAATTATTACTACTATGTTGGATTAATTTAAGTGGGATAATCTAATAGAATGACATCTGATTAATGTCAGCTATCACTATGCAAGCAATGAGCTAGAAGCAGAAATCATTATGTACTGGTAGAATTATTTGCAAATGTATCAGATTTATTCCTATGTTCCATGATGTATGTGAGATCAGGACAGCACCTTAGCTGATCCTATCATAAGTAGAATTAAAATTGTCTATAAAGAAGAGCCACATAGCAATGAAAAATAGCAGTGAAGTTACTGCATAGTGCAGGTGAAATGGCAGCTTAAGAGCAGAAAAGAGAGGTATCCTCCTTAAATACAGACATGGAATCATAACCAATTTTTCTATTGCAAACTCTGAGTAAAAAAAAATGTTTTTAACTTTGTGAGGCACTTGCTTTATCTTATTTTAGCCTTTTAGACATAATGCCAATAGGGAGGGCAGCCTCTGTTACGCAGTTTGGACATGAGGAAAAACTAGGCCACAAGCTGTATTATTTTATCTTCATATCACTAACAAAGGGTGGGTGCTATTGTTCCTGTTTTACAGACAAGGAAACTGAGATTGATTACAGAACTTTCTACCATTTTCTAGCTACCAGTGCTAAAATTCAAATATAGATTTGTATACTTCGAACCAAAACTTCAAGTGCTAACCATGCGGATATGAGTAAGGAAGTGGCTAGGGCTAGAATCCTTGGCGCATAACTACTGCTATTGGCCATTTGGACAGGTTACTAACTGCCAACTCAATGTGAACATGTTCCATCTTTTCCCACATTTAATGGCTATGGTAACACATTATTAAAGTATTAGAATATTTTAAAATATATGTCATTCTAGTTTTTCTGGAAAAATGATTACCACTGTTTTCTATGTCAGTGACTCAAGATATAATTATTTGAGTTTGCTTTCAGTTTGTATAATGAAACCAACTTTTAACAAAATGCCAAAACACAAACTCAGAATTATTGAATTTTTAAAAAGGAGAGACTTTGAGTTAATTATTGGAAAACTTGGAGGTGGATCAGGTTTCAGAAACAGAAGAGGGTAAAGAGTCAAGGTGTTGAGTATGCATCCATTAGTGACTTGTTCCTGTATCCTCACACTCTTTCAATAGTTCAGTTTTTGGTTTGGAATAGACACAACTGTATTTGAATGATGGCCTTGAGAGTTAAAAACTGAAGAATGGTAGAAAGCTCTGTTTTCATTTAAGTCTCAGTTTCATTGTCTATGAAGTGCAAATAACAGTATCCACCCTTTGATAGTAGTATGAAGATTAAACAAATACATGCAAAGCTCTGAACATTGCACCTATCTAGTTCCCTTGCTCCTTTCCTTCATCTTCCCTACAAAAATACAGCTTTGAATGAATACATTTTACACAGTACATTATACCAAAGCATTCATTCCCACAATATTGATTCCCTAAGCCACATTCCACTAATATAATTCTACTATAGAAAGCATCACAGAATACCAAGAGAAAATTTATTAACAGCATGTTCTGGAAATTGTCACTGTTACTTGTTGAGAATGCATAGTTAGGAAAACCTGCACTATTTTCATGAAACTACAGTTCCTTTAAGTTTTCAGAAGACTTATAGAAGATCTACAGAAGTGTCATCCTTCCAGTTTTAAATTGAGTGAAGTAAGGATTGAACACATGAAGCAGTACCATATAGTTTCCTAGTAAGGCCTTGCATCCGTACCAGAATATCCTTAGGCGTGACACTGCTGGCAGCTGGGGCTTCAACATGCACGTCTGGAAATTAAAAAACTGCATCATCCCAACTGAAAAATGACTCAAGCATGTATAGGATTGTGATGTCCTACCAAATCACTGAGAAATCAGAGATGGAAAAACTGGATCATGGGTGTAGGAATGTCGGCATTTGGAGGCTTTTCAAAGGGCTGTCATTCCCAGGAAGAATCTAATTTAATGAAGCCTTTTGAGAATCCTTAAAAATGCTGGGACCTCAGCTCCATCCAGTGCGTTGAAGGAGAATACCAGTATTTATGGAGACCTGACAGTACTATGTGTTATTTGAAAGATGGGTCACTAACTTACAGCAGAAAGTCATCCAAATGTATGCCTTTCATAGAGCCACTGGCAGCACCATTGTGGTGTTTATTGAGGTGCAAAAAGGTGATAAGTTGAAATGGGGGAAGAAATTATTCTGTGTGTCAGATCTGACTTGGCCCAGTATTCTTATAACAGTGAAGAATAAATTTAAGAGTAGAATGTGAGAAAAAGGAAACATCTTCTAATATTAAACATTTAGAAATGCTTCAGTTCCCTTTACGGAACCGATTCTTAACCAAAGAGAACAAAACTTAGAGTTTAGATCAGACTTTAGCTGACAGTAATTTATGGAATAACTGTCAGTCTTGATCTGGACCAAATTTTTTTATATTATTATTTAAATATATATTTATTTTTATCGCAAAAGCCTGCAACAACCAGCACTAAGCTAAAGCCAGTAGCTAGAAACTTTTTCCAGGTCTCCCACATGGATGCAGGGTCCTAAGACTTTGGGCCATCCTCCGCTGCTTTCCCAGGCCACAAGCAGGGAACTAGACAGAAGAGGAGCAGCCATATGGGATACTGGCAGATGCAAGGCAAGGGCCTAACCACTAGGCTATCGTGCTGGCCCTTAGAATTCTTTAATAAGACTACATCTAGGCTTATGATATTGTAGAGACTCCATGGAGTCAGGAGACGTGCACCCACGACTAGCCACAAGACATTAGGCCAATGTATTCATCTCTGATCTGCTCCTCAGCCTAAGGTGGAGGAAAATCCTATCAACCATATGAAGTAATGATACAATTGCAAAGTATAGTAGTTTGCTTATAGCAGGCACTTTGTGATAATTTTTTCTGCTCTCAAACTCTCACATATTCCAACTTCATCCCCTAATCCTCCCCTTCATGTCCCAATATCCTAACCACATCATGTGACCTTAAGAAGTCTTCCTCCTCTTGGTAGGGAATGGCTTTCCCTCTCCCTAATCAAGTTGCTATGTATCTTTCATTACCCAATGAAACGCTCCTTTCCCAACACTTCTAGCCCGATTTAGAAATTCCTTCTCCCTTGCCCTTATGGTCTGTGTAAATATAGTTCTTACATTATTACATACGCTTTGTATTATACACATTGAATTTTCTTCTTGGACTCCTTGTAAACAACACAACCATCTTTAGTTTCAGTTTATATTCACAATCCCTAATGTATAAACCTTGGGCATGTGGTAACATACATAAAATGATAGACAAACTCAAAAAATGTCCTTGGGAAAGAAACCTTTGCTCGCCCTTTCTCCTCTCTCCCTGTCACCTTCTGTCGGTTACATACCAGAGACAAGAAATTGAGAAATGCATGTGGGAGTTTTGGGTAATCCTGTGCTTAAATTAACTGCCCACGTACAGCAGTGGACTTATTAGCCTTCTCTGGGGCAAGTCCAAGCCTTTCTACCTGATTTGGCTGAATTTTGTCCCCTTAAAACTATGATGTTGAAGTGCTAGCCCTGAGTATGTCCAGATTGTGGCCTGCTTCGTAGATGAGGTCTTTACAAAGATAAACATGGGACTATTAGGCCGGGCCTGATGTTCTTACGAAAAGGAAAAATTTGGACACAGAACATGCATAGAGAGAAAACAAGAGAAGAGAAGGAGAAAATGGCCATGAGCAAGGCAGAGAAAGGGCCCTGGAACTGGCTTTTTTCAGTCCTGAGAAGGAATGAGTCTGCTGATATCATGACTTTTTTTTTTTTTGTAGAATTGTGAATCAGTTAAGTCTCCCAAGGCTGGGTACACTCAGCAACACCAGGCCATCAGTGTGGAAGACCTGTTCCCACAGCCACTGCCTTAGTTCTTGGGCCAAGGTGCCTGTGCCTGCCTGGGAAATGAATTGTAATGTTTTTGTCCTGGTTTAAGTCCGAGTTCTTTACTAGCTTCAGCGTTTTCCTTGATGTGAAGGTTTCTGGGCATTTTAATTAGAATTCTTCCTCTTTATATGGATTATATGTTGTGTCAGACAGTAGTAATTGTTCACAAGATTTTAAAGTGCTTTCCTATATATTTTAAGTGTTACTGTATTTAGTGCATCCTGTGAATGTCAATACGAAATTACATTTGCCAAAAAAGAATAGCAAATTCCCTGGTTTTAGTTTTAATTGCGGCAAAACTGAAGAAAATGCCAAAATAATATGCAAATATTAGTATGCCATATGGAAGATGTCTTGTTATTTTTTTGGACCTGTCAACACAATTCAACCTCTCTCTGTCATTAGTCCTGGATGTTTATGATTTTTTTAAAAAATACAATCTTTGTATTTCGTGACATTGAGAATGCTCCCAGGGGAGCCTAACTCCTACCACTGTTTTTGTTTGCAGGAAATTTTGACTGGGTAGGGAATGACTTTACCCAGAATGCTGGCACTGGCCTTGTTATCAACCAGGCAGATGTGAGGAACAACAGAAGCATCATTAAGCAACTTAAAGACGTGTTTGAAAGGGACTGGTACTCGCCCTATGCTAAAACCTTACAACCAACCAAACAGCCAAACTGCTCGGGCCTGCTCAAACTCAAATTCCCCTCAAACAAAACTGCCAGCTACAACACAAGTGGGAGAGAGCCCTTGAGTGTGCAATGAGAACAAGCAAACTGACCAAACAGCTCTGAATTTCTTATTTATACCTACAGGACCTGAGGAGAGGAGTGAAGAACAATTTAATATGTCTTTTTTTTTTTTTAGGGAAAAAGCACACTTACAAAAAATGTTCTCTGAACATGTGATACCTAACTAACAGTATCTTAGCGCCGTATATACTGCATTGAAGACTTTTGTATTTGTTACTTCAGACAGAGAATGTCATCCTGGTTTAGACGTTAGTTTTTACAATTGCATACAAATTTTAAGACTTGGATACTTGCTTCCTGTTCCTCTTTGGTCATAGGACCCCTTTCCTGCTGACCCACCTGCTCAGTTCTTAGGAAGCCTCGCATGAGGCGAGTGCTTTCTTTAATGCAATTCTGAGATCTGGTTCTGGACGTGAAGGGGGAGATTTAGCAGAAGAGACTGAGGACTCCAAGTCTCTGTCCTCGTGAACCCTCTCCAAGACTCGTACAGTCAGCTAAGCATGAGCAGTTTATATCTCATGCCAGCCTTCAGAACCCTTGAAGAATACCAATTTTACTTCATTTTCATTTTCTCTCAATACCACAATTTTTTTTTGCATCACTTTCTCTTACAGAATGTTCTTATTACATAGCATCCCTGTATCCACCTCAACATTAGTTCCAAGTGTGATAACATCTTTTGAAACTGTATGAATTCCTCAGAATATATAAAGTGGCAGTGTTTCATTTTCAACTTTCAGCTGCATTTTCCCCATATCAAATAGATATTTTCGAACCACAGCCAGCAATATGTATCCTTTCTCTCAAGCTCAGATAAATTATGCAGTCACCTGCTAATATCCAGCAAGCTATTAGTCTGCATTTTGAGAATAAAGTAGTTTTTCACCTTTTTTTTGTTTAGTTTATGGCATTGATAAAGGGAAGGTCTGTATGCTTCAGTGAATTTTAATCTCTTTAGAATCATTATGCTGTTAAGAGTATGCCAGCAAAGGTTTATAGAGCTATTTAATATACCCTCTGCTGTTTACTATACCAAATGCTTTTCAGAGAAATGCAGTTTAAATACTGTGCTTGACATATTTTACTAAGAAACAAATACTAGATTATTGTTCTATAATGTCATTGTGGTGGTGTTTTATATCTATACAACCTATAACCCTGTATTAATGGAGACTGTTGTGAGACAAGAGAGGCATGACCTCCTCCGAGCCCAGAGCAGGTGGCCAGGATGTGGCTCCTGACTCTGTGACTCAGAGTCCCTCACTCCTTGGTTTCCAGTTTTTATTGGTAATGTAGACAGTAATACTCACCTACCTCGCAAGGATTTGTCATGGTAGGAAATATTTATAACTTGTTTTGAAATCAAAAGAACTTATATAAATGCTAAGCATTATAATGTATACTCTTTTTCTTGAAATAATCTTTATGGTATCCTGATAGAATCAACACCTGGTCCAGGAACCCAGGAGGGCAAACAGATCCACAGCTTTCAGTTGCCAATGTGGATAAAAGGATGCAACAACAAAAATGCCAATGGAATCTGGACTGTCAAAATTTAAATGTGACATTTTATTGGGTCATTTGGCAAAAATAGCAGAAAGCTAGGCATTATGTTAAGGATCATTTTTTTCCTAGAAACAACCTGTATATGTATTTTCACAGAAAAGACAAGAAATCTCAGTATTTTTTTTTCTAGAGAGCTTGTTTAGAATTTGCCTAACAATGAAGAGAGGACCTGCAAGTCTTCCTGGTTCAGTTAGCTTAGAATGACTGGTCATCCAGTGATCGCATAGCTTTCCTATTGTTTCTATGTACTGCTTCAGTCAACAGAGCTGGAATAAAGCTCTTTTTAAGGGTAGCCTGTGTTTCTGCCTGACTGAGGAATCCTCAGTGAAATTCTTCATCAGTAACTGCCAGCCACTAGTACTCTATAAATATGTACCATGAACCAATCCTTGTGTGAGCTGACAGTTATCCTGCCAGTCATGCCAACAAAGTAAATGTGGTTTTGGTGATGACTTAGAAAAGAAAACAGAGAGTAACAGCGGAGACAAGCCAAGTTCCCCCATGGAAAAGCAAAAGCAACGTGGGAGGGATTTGTAAAGTTCACATGAAAAGTAGTTGTTTCCTTGTTGTGTCCTGGTGCATTTGTCTTAGGGTCAGGACGAGTGAAGGTTTGGTGTTAAGTGGCCCCATTCACTGTTACTATCTTTCATACATGGCAGGAAAAATGTATGCCACCCTTCACAAAATGAACATCATCACAGTGCGCTGGGAACTATGTTCTTGCCATGCACCAGCAGAGCCCCACTCGACCCAGCCAGCCACCTCATCGGAGCACTCTGGGTGCAGCAACTACTAGGTCACCAGGGAAATGGACCCTGCAGCATGTCAATAAAGGGTCTTTCTCTGCTAAGAGAGCATTTCCTCCTCTAGAACTTTCTCTTCAATCTGGATCATTTTTCTACCCTTCTTCTGGTGGCCTTTCTCGGAGACTTTACGCAGAGTAAATGACCAACTTCCATTTCTCCATTCCCAAATACTCCAGGAATTATTTTTAAAAGAATTTAAAAAAAAACATGAAACAAAACCCCTCTGAGATCATGAGGAATGAACATGCCAGAAATTATGAGCAGAAAGGTGGCTCCTAGCCTCATTTTTTCTTCCATAAACATGCAAGAAACTATTTCCCAAGGGAATAAAGGAATTTTGTTTGAAATTTGAAATTATATTTTGGATTTGTATTTCTGTGTTGCTAAATGTTTATCTAGTGCCTTATTTATTCTTGTGTTAGTTTTAAATAATGTTGCACTGTCCAGAGATATTTCTGCTTATTGTGGAGTCTCATATGATCTTTTGATAAGCCCACCAGTTATAAATCTATATAAGCATGAACCATTTTTATGCATCCTGTGCTTTTCCCACACCACATAACTTATCAACCCCAAAACAAATAACATATACTGTCAAATTAGCATGGATGCTGTTCAAGGCCTTGTCACTGGCCACTAGTATATTGAATAATTGAATCATATTTTCCCATACCATTGGAGAGAGAGAAGTGGAACATTGCAAAGATTGTATCTATACTCTGTAAATGCCATACTTTGCATGAAAAATAATGCAAGTGAGGTATGTAGAAAAGGTCCCCACAGTCTTTGAAGAGCCTTGTAAAGGGATGTTTCATGGACTTCCAAGGTCCCTGGTGATGCAGAATGAAAAACTAATGTCTGAAAAGTAAACAAAAGGCCAGTGGAAAAGCTTCCCAGCTGTGGAGCTCTGGGCACCACGTTTCTCATTTGGGCTGAGTCTGTACTATTGTTTGTCTCACATCTGATTTGGATTTGTGTGAGATGGGTCTGACCCCCTTTACGAATGATCTTACCCTTTGCAAAATGTGCTTTGCTGATGCAGTTATAACAGCGCTTCAGTGAACTTGGAACTGACAAAAGCTCATTTCCCACAAGCCTGTAGCTATTCTCAAGTGACTTCGATTATGTCTGAGTTTTTTTTTTTAATTTCAGAAAGTTTTATTGAGCTAAGTTCCAAGAGAAAACAAATATAAAGATTAAACTGTTCTTGATAAAATCAGAACCAAAGCCCATCTGTCTCAGAAATTCTACCCCAAGATCTTCTCTTTTGTGTTCTCATGTATGGCCATTTATATGTCTAAAATTTTATCATGTTTAACATTTAGGAATGTCTAAGAAATGGCCTTTACTTGCAGTAATACTGGAAAATATACTTCCTGTCATGGAAAATACTTTCTAGTTGTTTATTTATATTCAGTCCCTTGCAAACAGCTCACACATAAAGGACAGATATGCAATTATTTCTTTTTTACCTGTGCTTGCTCCCAATGAACCTCTGCATTTTGTTGTAAATGTTTTAAAGGAGAAATTAGTGTAACTGCCATATGGCTTATGATAGATTGGATAAATTTACTCACATTTAACACTTTGTCATTTGCAAAACAAGCACTTTTCCTTGTCTTTTTATATATGAATAACTGAATAGGCAACTTACCACTTTTACCTTACTGACTAAAGTTTGTGGAGGCTTTTTAATGCCTCTGAGGTCAATTTCAACTCATAGCATGCTTTTCTCACTTGAGAGAATTCCAATCTTTAGCTGAATTCTGAAGGTATTTAAAGAAGTTTCTGAAGAATATCTATCTAAACTGTAAGAACTTGAAGTTTCTCATTTGGGGCCCTTATTAAGTCTTTTTCATGCAGAATTCTGAAAGGTCCCTGGTCTGCTTCTATTGGCATTGTTTTTTTTTTAACTAAAAGTCAGGTGCCATTTAGTAGAAAAGGATGCATTTTCTTTTGCTATGGTCAACTTCTAAACCTCTAATGCTGTTACAAAGGATATCATAAATGTTTAGTGTTCCTTCATTTAATAGGATAAACTTGTACCTGAAAATGTCTATATTAAGATTCCTAAATAAAAGGGGTGTGATCAAGGGCAGAATTTGAGGAGATTATTAAACCTGTCAAAACTTTCACATAACCAAATGCTAAGTTTTTCCAGAAGTAAATCTTGTAAGAATGTTTTTTCCTACAGTAGGAGAAGGCATTCCTTTTCCCCCTCAGCTTGATCTAGAAGCTGTACCCTGACAATAAGTAAGGAAAATGCAGCTGGCCACATGAGCTCTGGGCCCTGGACACAAGGGGGCATCTTTGTGACACTACTTATCTCTATCTAATAATCACTCCTAATGCATATTAATTTTGATTAAATAAGTGATTGTGTTTTGTGAAGAAAAATATTTGTAGAAAGCACACTGTACTCTGTTCTTGGGACAGTAAATGTTTTTGAGAACACGAATCCAGCTACCTCTGTTTACCCACCACCGTCTTCTGGCCCTGCTTAATTCCGTAATCAAATATACCTGGGCTCTTCTCAGAAAACCCATATTGGATCTCAGATTGAAAGCTTAGCTTGGCAGCCATCTAAACCAGTTCCCACTACACAAATGCCACTCCCATTCTGTTGCTCAGAAGTTGGGGAACTACTCAATCCACCCAGGATATAAAAGTTTACTGATTTACTAAGAATTAAGATTTACAGCAAAGCCTTGCCTTGGAAATGTAAGGTGAGTAAGCTTTGTATAAAAAGAAAGGTATAATTTACTTTTGGTCATTTGAGAGTTTAGCAAAGGCTAATTAATAAGGCAGGCTTTGTGAATCTGCAGTAGTCAGGAAACACAACTTGATTTTATCAGTGACTTTCTAAACCCTACAATTTCATGGTTTGGGTCAGCTGATAGTTTGGCAAGAGACACTCAGTTGCAAAGAGTTTAGTGAAATTATAGTAAAGGTGAAGATTGTACTGTATTTCATAGGAGGAAAAACTGAGTAAGGAGAAAAGGAGTCCTTTTGGAAGATGTAGCCACAAACCCATTCCTTTTGGCCTCAGACATGGTTAAATATACATATTTTATACACACACACACATTCCTCTCTCAGCCCTTTTCCAGGGGTGGAAAATTCAAACGAATATTGGAGATATTTTTAGACTCTTACAAGATACAAAAGCACACAAGCTTGTCTTCTAATTTAGAGTTTCCACTTGAGTGGACAACTGATCTTGGGAATAATAACCTCAATTTCCCTGATTGAAAATGTTGAAATTAAATGCAGCTTTCCAATGTAAGTAGGGGATAAAGATCTTTCAGTACAACTCAAAAAATGGAATCTAACAGTCATGTGAATCAGAGCTTACTGTATCAATGTGCTTACTGCCAATGTTTCTTTAGAAAGTTTCTTTAGAAAGAACACATTAAGAAAGGCGAGACCTGTCAAAATGTAATATGACAGACAACAGTGAAGTTCCAGAAAAGTTACAATATTGACAGGGAACCAGAAAAATCCTCCCTGGAAA